AGGAAAAACAGTAGTGGGATCGCCGGGGTCGCAGAGGGAGAGAGAAATCGATTCGTGATGGGTCGAGAGAGCTACGGCCTCCCATCCATACCCTCTCCAATTATTCGCCCGCGCGACATTAATTAAGCAAGATAATTTGCTCTCGTACCGCTCGCTGCCCAATATGGCATCCACGGCTACGTCGGCCTCCTAGCGTTCATATTTTAATGATTCGAATACGCCCGAGGGTTTGTTCTAGTTGAAAATATAATTTCGCCGATGCCAAGAGGGAAGGAAAGAGAGAGAAAGATAGAGAGGAAGAGAGACAGCGACCGAGCGAAAAAGTTTATGTATACACTACGTTGATTCATCTGCGTGAGCATTTCTATGCGTGTCAGGAATGCACAAAATGAGAGATAAAAAAATCTTAAAAAAAGGAATAAATAAAGATATGGGGATATGGTGTCTGAATGAGTAATGAAGAAATTTACAGAAAAAAATACATGTTAGATTGTCGCAAGCGTTGAAAGAAACCGAAGAGAGCGACGCGAGAAGGGACGATGGGAAAGGAATAAACGAGAAGGAGAAACGGTACGAGTGCATCGTTAGCGTGCCGGTCGCGACTCGTTATCACATGTATCGCTTCGTAATTACTATTATATGCAGTTGTCAAGCCGGGAACGATGTAGAGTATACCGGGCGAGTGCATTTAGTGCGTGCTTAATATCGACGCGCCGATTTCATTTAGTAATTGCAATAAACATAGCAACGGATGCGACATTGTATTTCCCGCGATGCTCTTTGTTTCGCATCGCTTTGAGTTTTATCTAATCGACGGAGTTTTTAATGAATGATGTACAATATATTCACGAATCTAACGGAGTACCTATATATACGCGATTCATTTTATTGCACTCTCTCCATACATGTTTTTTAATATCTATTTAAAATGAGAGAAAACATTGTTCTCTTATTCCCTAGTATCATATAAATGAATTTTATTTTATTTTTTATGCAATTTTAATCCATAATGCATCATTTTAAACTCGTCGAAAAGTACAATAAAATAATTTCAAATGAAATAGTTTGCGCGTTACTCTTCATCGCAACGATAAAAGCGACAAACGAGAAATAACCAATTTTGTGAAGAATCAGATATTCGAATATTAACTGCAATATATGTGATAATAAACGCGATATATATAATCAATATATCGCTCAAAATTTTAAGGGAATTTCTAATTCTCCATGCATTCATGAGGAGACAAATTTAGTTTAACAGTGACATTGACAACATATCCAATCGCTAATTAACCCGCATTTATTATTTATATGATATTCTCGCCGGCAGCAATTACACGGTATTTGCGAGCGATTATTGATGAAATATGAATATGATCTTAAAGGAAATAAAGAAAAATGTGCGATTTTTACAATGAAATTTATTTATCCATTTATTATTAATAATGACGCTTAATATGTGTGACGCTTGTTTGGATCGTCGTATTTAGACGTGTCTTTAGACGTTAAAAGATAATATTCACAGTATATATTATCATATAATTGTTTCATTTATATAATAAAAATAGATAGAATAATTTTAATTAAAAAAATGGTGTATTAAACAAAAAATGATAAAAGATAACACACATTATCATTCTGCAAATTTTATCACATTTTATAAATATATATGTTTCTTCTATACTAAATTTCAATGGGGAATAAAATATAGTATGCCGTACTATGTGGTGGCGTGGAATATGTCATGTGGTATATAATATGCCATATAGTATCTAAAGGATTAAGAGCAAATAGTACGCTATTTATACTATAACTTGCACGTGCAAGTTAATCGCGCAAGTATATTCACGAAGCGTTCGTTACGAAACCATTTTAGTCAATCCTTTAAACCACGTGGTTTAATATCTAAATCTCTCCGTCACATAGGGAGAGCATGGCGTGCAAGCGCGAGTAGCAGTTCTCCCACGTCGCGTATTTTCGTTTCATTAAATTTAATGACCGACCATATTTCGGTGTATCCGGCGACGAGTCCTTTTCGGGACAGTAATTTGCGTTTCGGATGGGTTTATCGGACGATGAAAATACAGTTTCAGGCAGTTTGGCATCCAGACGCACGGGAGACAACTCTCATCGTTACTTCCCGCTTTTCCCTGGTCGCGACGGAATCAATTAGACAGTCGCTCGTGCGATTGATCGAGTGCATCGTTAGCGTGCCGATCGCGACTCGTTATCACATGTATCGCTTCGTAATTACTATTATATGCAGTTGTCAAGCCGGGAACGATGTAGAGTATACCGGGCGAGTGCATTTAGTGCGTGCTTAATATCGACGCGCCGATTTCATTTAGTAATTGCAATAAACATAGCAACGGATGCGACATTGTATTTCCCGCGATGCTCTTTGTTTCGCATCGCTTTGAGTTTTATCTAATCGACGGAGTTTTTAATGAATGATGTACAATATATTCACGAATCTAACGGAGTACCTATATATACGCGATTCATTTTATTGCACTCTCTCCATACATGTTTTTTAATATCTATTTAAAATGAGAGAAAACATTGTTCTCTTATTCCCTAGTATCATATAAATGAATTTTATTTTATTTTTTATGCAATTTTAATCCATAATGCATCATTTTAAACTCGTCGAAAAGTACAATAAAATAATTTCAAATGAAATAGTTTGCGCGTTACTCTTCATCGCAACGATAAAAGCGACAAACGAGAAATAACCAATTTTGTGAAGAATCAGATATTCGAATATTAACTGCAATATATGTGATAATAAACGCGATATATATAATCAATATATCGCTCAAAATTTTAAGGGAATTTCTAATTCTCCATGCATTCATGAGGAGACAAATTTAGTTTAACAGTGACATTGACAACATATCCAATCGCTAATTAACCCGCATTTATTATTTATATGATATTCTCGCCGGCAGCAATTACACGGTATTTGCGAGCGATTATTGATGAAATATGAATATGATCTTAAAGGAAATAAAGAAAAATGTGCGATTTTTACAATGAAATTTATTTATCCATTTATTATTAATAATGACGCTTAATATGTGTGACGCTTGTTTGGATCGTCGTATTTAGACGTGT